GACTGTGGCGGAGATCACCGCCAAGTTTCGGGAACGAGCTTTGTTGATCCCACAGTATGCTACCGATGAGGAGATGAGACGGACCCGATATCATTCCATGCTGAGAGATGATATCCGGGAGTTTGTGAGCTTTACGGGGTGCAAAACCCTGAACGAGATTGTGGAGAAGGACCGTGAGAAGGAGATGGAGTTGGATTCCCACACGAAGTGGAAGACTGAGCAGGTGCAGGAAGCAGGGGCTCAGGCTAAGAAGCCTAAGACCTCTGATTCTTCGGGAGGAGGCCAACAGGGCCGGGGCCGATGTGCCAAGTGCTGGAGGTTTCATAGTGGGGCGTGTCGGGCAGCTGGGATATCGGGATGTTACTCTTGTGGTCAGCAGGGCCACGTGAGCATGGATTGCCCCAATAAGGGCTTAATATGTTTCCACTTCAACCAGACTGGCCACAAAAAAGGCCGATTGTCCGAGGTTTCAGGGATGGGGAGGAGCAGTGGCGGCGCTCGCGCTCGCCACGATGAGGATTACCGATGGCCGCCCTGTTAAGGTGGATGCTCCAGCAGTAAAGAGCCGAGCATTTCAGCTGACTACCGAGGAGGCACGGGCAGCGCCAGACGTTGTGGCTGGTACGTATTTATTCTTCTCTACTCTATGTATCTGTTTCGCTTATGTGTACTATATGCTTGTATAGGGACCTTTTTGGTCAATGGTATGTCTGTTCATGTCTTGTTTGATTCGGGTGCTACCCGATCGTTCGTATCTCTTGCGCTTAGCAAGAAGTTCCGGGATGCGCCGGTAACTTTGGATTCCCCGGTCGAGGTGGATATTGCAGATGACCGCACCGTTAGTGCCTGTGAGGGTGTATCGGGAATGTGTCCTGAATGTGCTTGGCGAGAGATTTCGTGTCGGCCTAGTCCCGATACCGTTGCGAGGGCTGAAAGTGATTATCGGAATTGATTGCTTGGGGGCCAACGGGGCCATGATTGACTGTGAGCATCAATCGGTGAGGGTTCGAACCCCAAGTGGGGGAGAACTGGTGATACATGGTGATAGGGCATCGCAGGGGCCGACCCTCTGTTCGGCTGCAAGGGCAAGGAGGTTCCTGCAGCGGGGTTGTTCGGGATCACGAAGGATGTAGGCAGTGTGCCGGTTGTTCAGGACTTTCAGGATGTTTTCCCCGAAGAGTTACCAGGAGTGACTCCGGAGAGGGACGTGGAGTTTCACATCGATTTAGTGCCGGGTGCCACTCCGATAGCAAAGGCACCATATCGGTTGGCACCACCCGAGATGCAGGAGTTATCTATACAGCTTCAGGAGCTGTTAGACCGAGGTTTCATTCATCCGAGCAGTTCCCCGTGGGGAGCACCAATTATTTTCGTGAAAAAGAAGAATGGATCCCACATGATGTGTATCGATTATAGAGAACTAATCAAGCTAACGGTGAAGAACCGTTATCCGTTGCCAAGGATCGATGATTTGTTCGATTAGCTGCAGGGTGTGTCTTGGTTTTCCAAGATTGATCTTCGGTCGGGATACCATCAGATGAGGATTCGAGATAAGGATATACCGAAGAAGGCTTTCAGGACTCGCTATGGGCATTATGAGTTTGTAGTGATGTCGTTTGGGATCACCAATACCCCAACAACGTTCATGGATCTTTTGAACAAGGTGTGTAGATCGATGCTGGATCGGTCGGTGATCGTTTTCATTGATGATATCCTGGTCTATTCGAAGACCAGGGAGCAGCACGAACAACACTTAAGGGAGGTGCTGGAGACCCTAAGGGCGGAGAAGCTGTATGCCAAGTTTTCCAAGTGTGATTTCTGGCTGCGATAGGTACAATTCTTGGGGCATATCATCAACCAGGAGGGTATTTCGGTTTATCCAGCCAAAAATGAGGCTGTGATGCGGTGGAAAGTATCGAAGAATGCATCAGATATTCGTAGCTTCTTGGGTTTAGCGGGTTATTACCGAAGATTTATCCAGGATTTCTCCAAGATTGCTGTGCCATTGACCCGTCTGACCAAGAAGACTGTGACGTTTCGGTGGGGTACAGATCAACAGTTGGCCTTCGAGACCTTGAGGCGGAGATTGTGCGAGGCTCCGATTCTTGTAGTACCGGAGGGATTAGATGATCTGGTGGTGTACTGTGACGCATCGATTTCAGGGTTAGGTGCGGTACTGATGCAAAGAGGGCACGTGATAGCATATGTCTCGCAACAGTTGAAGCCGCATGAGGCAAATTACCCTACTCATGATCTGGAACTGGGGGCAGTGGTGTTTGCCCTCAAGATTTGGAGGCATTACTTGTATGGAGTGCGGTGTACCATTTATACCGACCACAAGAGTCTGAAGTATTTGATGGACCAATAGAACCTCATCATGCGGCAGAGAAGGTGGTTAGACGGGCTAAAAGACTATGATTGTGAGATTCTATACCACCCAGGGAAGGCCAACGTAGTGGCCGACGCTTTGAGCCGTAAGACGGCAGGTTCCCCGATTGGGAGTGTGTGTTTGAGGATGACGGTGATCTCTCCATTGTTGGAGATGATCAAAGAGGCTCAGGTTGAGGGAGTAAAGAAAGAGAATTGGAAGGTAGAGAGGATCCGAGGACAGTATCCTTTGTTAAGGATAGTCGAGGCCTATTGACACAGTGTGGTCGTGTGTGGGTACCGACGACTGGGGGAGTGAGACAAAAGATATTGGAGGAAGCGCATAAGTCCAGGTTCTCTATACATCCAGGAGCTACGAAAATGTATAGGGACTTGAGGCCGAGTTATTGGTGGCCCTGCATGAAGCGGGAAATTGCTTGGTTTGTGGAGCGGTGCTTGACCTGCAAGAAGGTCAAGGCCGAGCATCAGCGGCCTCATGGTAAGGTCCAGCCGCTACCCATTCCCATGTGGAAGTGGGAAGAGATCACGATGGACTTTATTACGAAGTTGCCAAGGACGGCGAGGGGTATGGATGCCATATGGGTGATCGTGGATAGACTGACGAAGAGTGCCCATTTCATTCCGATATCCGAAAGTATATCCGCAGAGAAGTTGGCGGATATTTACGTGCGTGAGGTGGTAGCTAGTCACGGGGTGCCCGTGTCGGTAGTATCTGACCGCGATGTTCTGTTTACATCTAGGTTCTGGAAGAAATTCCACGAGGAGCTGGGCACTCAGCTACACTTTAGCACGGCGTATCACCCCCATACCGACGGTCAGAGCGAGAGGACGATTCAGACGCTGGAGGATATGCTACGGGCATGCGTGTTGGATTTTGGAGGGAGTTGGGATACGTATCTTCCACTGGTAGAGTTTTCGTATAATAACAGTTATCATGCCAGTATCGAGCGAGCCCCGTTTGAAATGTTATATGGTCGAAGGTGCAGGACCCCGGTTTGTTGGGATGAGGTTGGACACCGAGTCATGGGGAGCACTGAGGTAGTGCTTAAGACTACCAGACTGATTCAGCAAGTGCGCGACCGACTGCGAATTGCGCAGAGTCGTCAGAAAAGTTACGCCGACCGTCGGCATTTAGACCTGGAAATTCAGGTGGGGGATTTTGTACTATTGAAGGTGTCACCCTGGAAGGGGATCATTAGGTTTCGGAAGATGGGCAAGCTAGGGCCCCGATATATAGGACTGTTCTGGATTGTTGACCGGGTAGGTAAGGTAGCCTACCGCTTGGAGTTGTCGGCAGAGCTTAGTCAGATTCACAACACATTCCATGTGTCGCAGCTTCAGAAGTGTGTCACCGATGAGGCTGCGGTTGTCTCGTTGGATGACATTCAGGTGGATGAGAGCTTGAATTACATAGAGAAGCTTGGTGCAATTCTGGATAGGAAGACCAAGGTTCTTCGGAACAAGGAAGTAAGGTTGGTAAAGGTGTAATGGCAGCATCGAAGGGGTTCCGAATGGACTTGGGAGCCAGAGGAGGAAATGCGAGGGCACTATCCGGAATTGTTCGTTTCAGCAGATTTCGAGGACGAACTCTAGTTCAAGTGGGGGAGACTTGTAACATCTATTTCGAGGATTGGCTGGAGTTTACCATTTAAGGGGAATTTTATGCATGGACTCGGCGAGTTGGGAGTCCAACTCGTCGAGTAGGGTCGTGACATCTTGGGCGTGGGTCGGAACTGACTCGGCGAGTCGGAAGGCCCGAATCGGCGAGTCAGAATTGTTTAGAGAAAACCCTAATTTCGGGGTTTGCCCCCTGTATAAACGTCACTATCCGCCTCAGTAGCATCCCATCCGCCACAGTAGCCTCCCTTAACACCGTAGAAGAACGTTCACGGCCACAAACCCTCTAGTGTGTGAAGTAAGAACAATTGGGAGCTTATCTTTGAGATTTTGGGGAGGACGCCAAGTTTGAAGAGGAAGTATCGAGGGAGAAGTGTTAGATCAAACATCTATTTCGTGTTGGGCATCTGTCAGAGGTATTAATCTCTTACCTTAAGCCTTGATTTCTTTTTGGAAGTTATCCCCTCTCCATACATGAACACCTTGTTTGAAGGTTAGTTTTGGTGTTATGGCCATGTGAGGCCATGCATGCACGTAAAGTTTGCAACTTTACGTGACATCTTCACTAGGAGATTATGGATCTGTTGTTTGAGACCTTAAATCCCACTGGAAAGGACCGAATACGTGAGAACTCGTCGAGTCGCTCTGGTGACTCGGCGAGTCGAGAGGGTTTTCTCATTCACGGCTAAGGGTTCACGGTCAAGGGTTCACGACCAAGGGTTCACGGTCAAGGGTGTTCGGTTGGTCGTTTACGGCCGTGAACATAAACGAACTAGACGAGTCGCTCGGGTGACTCGGCGAGTCGACGAGTTAAGCAGGGAACCCGACGAGTGACTGATTGTACTCGATGAGTCAAGGTCAATATGGACTGTTGACCTTGACTACAGACCTAGACTTTGACCAGGTTTGACTCAGAGGAGCCTTAGGGGTTGAGTTAAGATTATTTATTTATTGGTTATAGGCAGTTTGGGAGGAGCAACGAGTTTCTCAGTAAATCAAAGCTTTAGGGACTCGAACCGGTGAGTCTTCTCCTCCAAATCCTTGGCGAGCACAGAACGACGACCAATGGCATCATCTGCTTTGATCTGAAGATCCTCATTCAAGTTCTTCAACTCATTTTGGCAGCGAATACTTTCACTTAGGTCACCAACAAGAAGAACATTCCTTTCAGACAACCCCTTCACCCTTTCTTGGAGTTCTTGTGCTTCTTGTTCGTTTCGTTCATGAATCTTGCCTATCTCTTTTAACTTTCGCTGGCCCTCCTCAAATTTAGCCTGACGTTGGGCCAGAAGCTCCTTACGGACCTTGGTATGAGCAGATACCTCATTAAGGAGATGCATACCCTCCATTAGATGATAATGAGCTTTGTCAAGGGTTTCTTCATCAGAAGCACTCGCCAAATCAGGACTTGTAGGAACGGTAGTGGTAGTGAAAGGACATTGAAACGGAGGAAGTGAAGCGGCAAGATTGACCAAGGTATGAATAGAAGCTTCCTTTCCAGAAGATGGGATCACTACAATAAACAAACAAAGAAGAAAAAGGAATAAGACTTGATAAATCAGCTCACAAGAATTCATATATATATATATATATATATATATATATATATATATATATATATATATATATAAGAAAAAACAAGAGGGAAAGCCACTTACGATCTACGCAAGATGTAAGGGGATTCGAATTGGAAGAAGGTTCAATAGAGGAAGTGTCTATAAGCATCAGTGAAGATCCAGGGATATTAGATTCCAAGTAAGGATTCATAGTCACAACAATAGCCTCCACAGTGGTGGCCTGAAAACGACCAAACCTAGCCCAAAATAACTTTTGGCGAAAAATATCGGCAACATACAAAGTAGAGGTATGGAACCTCTTGACAAAGGCCGAGATACCTCGGTAACAATAAAAATCTCGGATGATACAACAGAGACAAAGGGGACTTCCATTTGGCTTGAGGAGAAAGGAAAAACTTCATTAGAAGGAATGTCGGAGTTAGACAAGGGAATATTATCCTCGACATGTTTTAAGCGCAAGATCGGTGATCACAGGGCAGTCATGTAGAGAAGAGGATGTCTGGGTCTCTACAGGATCATTGGACTCACCAGACCTAGGGGGAGCGTGGGTGCCAAATCCTCTAGATACCTGCAACCTCGGTCTAGGAGCACGGGCATACCTCTTTCATTTTGAAGGGGAGGTGGCGATCGATTAATCAGGATGATTCATTACGCCTTCCAAGGAAACCACTTTTTCCAAACCGGTTTTCGTTTTTAACAAGACCTTCATGGCAGCCCTAGTCGAGGAAGACGATGGTTTCCCACTACCTGACTCCATTTTCACATTTTTGTTTATCGAAGAGGAGATGGGTTGTATCAAAGCTTGTGAAGACGGAGCATACACGGTGGAATCCATACTCGATTCTGAGGGAGAAGGGGAGTCCGGTACATGAAAGAACCCCTTTCTATACTTTCATATTTCTGAAAGACCCAAACTTTCATACTTGACAATATAGTTACTCCAAAACATGCTACATGCATATTCATAAAATAATATTTTTACATTGATAAAGTCATTACAAAAGATTGGATAAAAACCGACTATGTTTTAAGATTTTACATGACTACCCAAAATACAAAAAATAATATTACAACTATTCTAAGTCTTCCAACTATACTGGGTGCTTATTTCCTGCATTATGTTAAAACATTGGGAGGGGTAAGCGATAACGCTTAGTGAGTTCAATAATAGATACAATATAACGTTATGCCATATATATACCAATATGGCAGAAGCAAGTAACAACGAAGGCATAATGTGATAAGCTTTCCCTAACAATTACTGATTTGATTCAAAGATATACAATCATTGAGACATAACAATTTCCATACTTAATATACATCAATAACGCTTTGGCCCAAATGGCACAGAAGACATACAACTTCGGATTAACATTTTGGTAGATTTCAGGTTTTCACGCCCTGTCTAACCATCTGCCAATGCCATAGAATAGAGTCATTCACTTACTGGGGGGACATGCTCTACATGGCCAGAGGCTACATACCAGTACCACTGTGAATCTGAGTTCTTAAACTGATCACATGGTCAAAGGTATAGCTTTGCTATCATAAATAGCAGAAATAAAAATAACACCGGAAAATACTCAGGAATATTATTCTACCGAAGCCAAAGTGATGCCTATGTCATACACTTCATGGTCAACGGTTCATACCAATACCCAAGTGATGCCTATGTCATACACTTCAAGTTAGAGGTACAGCCTTGCTATAAAAATAGCGGATACAACAACTCGAGATGATAACATGGAAAAGCACATAGCACATATAACACATAACATACAATTGTTTCTACATATTAAACTCACCTTAAAACAACTGGGGGTCAAAATAATAATTTGGGCAGCACTTCGGCTCTAAATATGACTTTCGTCGTTGAAAACCGGGAGTTTTCTTGAAAACCGGGCCCAGCGATGGTAGAGCTTCGAAACCGAAAGATAAATTTTTCGGGCTTCTCGGGAATCTTGGGGCGTGTTTCGGGCATTGGAATTAATCCCGGGGCTTCGGGGGAAGTCAAAATATTAAAAATATGGAATAATGGGTGAGAAATGGCAAAATTCTCAAAATACCCGGCTAATCTCGCAAGGCCACTATTTATAGGGAGGAGATCCAGAGCTTCGGATCCGAGGCTAGGAGGGTCAGCAGCTGCGAAGGCCACGCGGCATCCGGAGCTCGGTTCGGAGGCCAAAAGTCGCGCATGCGAGGCGGTCAGGTGCGAGGCTCAGAAGGATGACACGGGGCGAGCTTGCGAGCCACCGGCTCCTCTGACGCGTCATCGACTTCGGACAGATGAAAGCCTCTTAGTGGACCGGACTTCGGTCCAATGGGGAAAGGGGTGATGACTTCGGACCAATCAGAGGGTGCCACGCGAGGCTGCGGTCCAATCAGAAGATGCCACGTGGATCAACACTATTCATGCGAAAATTAAATGAAAATGTGCCCAATCTTGTAAAATCCATAACTTTCTCATACGGTCTCTGTTTTTGACGTTCTTTATATGCATGCGTAGAAAAAGTTATGCTCTACAACTTTCGTTTAGACTTCGTCGGAAAATTTTGACTTTATTTTTATATTATTATTTTTAACAGACCGGGACTGGTAAATCCGTTAAAAATTCATAACTTCTTCATCCGACGTCCGTTTTCGTCATACTTTTTACCGTTGTACTACTAATGACGAGACCTTCGATTCTCGTTTAGGTTGTGTCGGCTAAAAATTACTCGATCTAAAATTCGAGTTTTTATGTGTCTACTGCTAAGCTGAAACTTGTAAAAATCATAACTTCCTCATACGAAGTCAGATTTTGGCGTTCTTTTTATCAAAATTCTCGGTTTAACGATTACTACGACTTTCATTTAGATCACTAAGGCTAAACAGTAGTTTATCAAAAACTCACTTTTTACGTCATTCGGCACCGTGCCGGTTTTATTGCAGATCTTTGATTGGTCATAACTTCTTCGTTATAACTCGGATTTCGATGAGGTTTTCGCCTACATGTTTCTAACGAGATTATCTACAACTTTCAATAATAAAATTTTACTTATTTCAAATTTTATATTTTCGCTAAATTTCACTAATTGGCTTTTAATTGGAATCTCATAAGAATTCCAATATTTTATGAGTGATTCTAAACATAGTTTTACTTCATTTCTAGTAAAAACTATATGTTAGAACTCAACACTCAATTTCACATAATATTTCATAATATTTTTAACTTTTCAAATTACATAACACGATTTCAAAACGTGTATGTTACAATTACCTCCTCCTTTTGAGGATTTCGTCCTCGAAATCACAACGATTTGGACAAATGAGGATATTTCGCTCTTATCTCATTCTTATTTTCCCTAAGTATAAATTTATCATCCCGTTTCACCTTGGATAATGGAACCGTTTCATCATACATGCTCAAGCATTTACGTAGATATCTTACATGAAATACATCATGAATACCTGCCAAATCTTCAGGCAATTTCCAAGCGATATGCTTGTTGACGAATTCTCTATATAATTTTGAAAAGTCTAACAAATCTAGGACTTAATCTCCTTTTCTTCTCAAATTTCATAATACCTTTCCACGGGGTTACCTTCAGTATCACCCACTTGGAATTTTATGGATTGTCTCCTCCATTTCTACACAGGTCTTTTGTCGATCCTGGGCTACTTTCATTTATTCTCGTATGATTTGAATCTTATCAGTGGTGTCTTGAATCAATTCAGGACCACCAAGGATTTTCTGTCCTACATTATGCCAACATAATGGTGTTCACAGTTACTACCGAACCCTAAGACACATGCACGAAGCATATCTTCTACTGTTTGGATTGTTCTCTCTGTCTAATCATCCGTCTGGGGATGATAAGCTATGCTGAGAGCATCTCGAGATCCCAATTCACGTTTCATATTCGCCCAAAAGTGAGAAGTAAAGCGAGTATCACGATCGGGAATAATATTTTAGTGGCACACCATGTCTCACGATGATTTCGTCTAAGTAAACTTACGCGTATTTCTCCAATGGAGCCGTTTCACGTGTGGCGAGAATATGTGCACTCTTCATCAGCCAGTCGAAAATTATCCAAATGCTATCATTCACAGTTTTCTTCTCCTCTTTCAAGGTATTAACTGTATAAGCCGGATACGTAGAATATCCCTTCGATATAAATTTATGAGTTTTTAAGAAAGAAATTTATTATTTTCACCGTAGACATAAATAGAATCTTCCCTTTCGATAGGGATGCATATCATCTCTTCATAGCACAAGAGATCTGCGTTGTTCTTTGACAATCGATTCATGTCGAGAATAGTATCAAAGTTGGGAAAGAAGATAGGAATTAGGTTAGCAGGAAGATTATAACTTCCAATTCCTATGACACTATCTCTATAGCAAGTAATGATATATTTCCTATGTTATCTATATGAAATGATTGGACAATTGCGTAACAAGCAATTTGAAAAGAATGTGCGAATTTATAAGGCACGAAAGAATTTGAGGCATCATAATCAAATAAGATGTGAGAAGATCTAAATTTTACAAGAAAATTAGTAGTCACAACATTCGAGTCCTATCTTACTTCCTCTGTGGTAATCTAAAATGTACGACATTTATCTTTTGGTTTGCCAAACGATTGTCAAACTCTTCAAACTTCTTAATTACTAGCAGTGCTCAAACCTGCACCAGTTCATCATTCTCTATTGGCCCTTCGATCCTAATCTTTGAGTTAAAACTCAATTCTCATTGTAGACTCCTGCTCCTTCTTGGTTTATAGACTAAACCCAAGATAAGGCCTTTACTTTTGCTATAACAACAACTCGTATGGTCTTATTCTAATGACCTTTGATTTTATAACGCACAAGACACGTAACGAACCAAACTCTTGTATTAGAATCAGATCGAATAAATCAAGCTGATGGAATAAAGAAAACAAAAAGAGTTTGAACAACACGTGGATGCTTCAGAATAGAAAGAATAGCACCACGTATCCCTAATTCGTGCTTTCGGACATATACATCTTTTAGCTTTTGGCACCTCCTCCTTTTTAGTTGGAGTACTCTTTGATTGTTGAACGGAAACTTGACTCCCCGTCATTTGACTAGTAAGAGTAGGGTGGAAACATTTCTTGTGGCCAGTAACACCACATAGCCACTCACATCTCTGGCTAATGATTGCTCAATCCTTTAATGAATATCGTTATATTTCTATCGACTACCTCGATCATTTACTTCTTCAGTATTCCTACTAAAGTTTCGTCACTATATAAGACATGGTTCTCTAAACCAATCAACTCCTTTTGCGGATTTATACTAATCGGACTCGATTCTTTATGACATTAAGATTTGAACGATAATTATCTTCTTAGTCATTACCGAAACGAAGGTAACGACACACATGAATAAAACGGAATCATTTACTAGCTTCTTGGTAACCTTGTGACTTTGCCTGATCAAAGTGTGAGTCCTGTGCTTCCAGTAGGATAGGCCTCTACTACTATTCACACCTACTCATACTCGTCCCAAGTATTATCTCGCAGTTCCCAAGTCACCATTCAAAAGTTTTCACAAAGCAAATTTTCACACCTAAGTGCGTTCAAACAAGTACATACAATAATTTCTCCTAGACTCAACTAGGGTTTTCGCGTTTCTATCAAACATATATTGGATTACCTATACTCGCCCTCTAGGATTATTCTCATGCATATGCTCGATTTAATATATCCTAATACTTTTCCATAGGTCGATAGAAATTTTACTTCCATTTCTTCATATAAATTCTTTCTCGGGTAGTGTCTACTCCGCAAGACATACTACACCCAAAATTTCCTCTAGCAGTGTAAAGACAAT